AAGAACAAAAGCGAGCTACAGGGACCAGGGCAGCTCCAGGAGCTCAGGGGATCAGGGTAACACAGCTACAGGTATGCAGAGACAGATGAGAGCTGGAAGGACCAGGGCAGCTCCAGGAGCTCAGGGAACCAGGGCTGCAGTGCTATAGCTGAGCAGAGGCAGATGGCAGCTACAGGGACCAGGATAGCTCCAGGAGCTCAGGGGACTGGTGCTGCCCAGCTACTGGTGAGCAGGGACAGATGAGAGCTACAGGGATCACGGCAGCCCCAAGAGCTCAGGGGACCAGGGCAGCAGAGCTACAGGTAAGCAGGGATGGATGGGAGCTGGAGGAACCAAGGTAGCCCCAGGAGCTCAGGGGACCAGAACAGCACAGCTACAGGTGAGCAGGGACACATGGGAGCTGGAGGGATGAGGGCAGCCCCAGGAGCTCAGGAGCCTGGGGCAGAACAGCTCTTGGTGAGCAGGGACAGATGAGAGCCAGAGGGACCAGGGCAGCCCCAGGAACTCAGGGAACCAGGACTGCAGTGCCCTAAGCAAGAACAAATGCGAGCTACAGGGACCAGGGCAGCTCCAGGAGCTCAAAGGATCAGGGTAACACAGCTACAGGTATGCAGGGACAGATGAGAGCTGGAAGGACCAGGGCATCTCCAGGAGCTCAGGGAACCAGGGCAGCAGAGCTACAGATAAGCAGGGATGGATGGGAGCTGGAGGGACCAGGGTAGCCCCAGGAGCTCAGGGGACCAGAACAGCACAGCTACAGGTGAGCGGGGACACATGGGAGCTGGAGGGATGAGGGCAGCCCCAGGAGCTCAGGAGCCTGGGGCAGAACAGCTCTTGGTGAGCAGGGACAGATGAGAGCCAGAGGGACCAAGGCAGCCCCAGGAACTCAGGGAACCAGGACTGCAGTGCCCTAAACAAGAACAAAAGCGAGCTACAGGGACCAGGGCAGCTCCAGGAGCTCAGGGGATCAGGGTAACACAGCTACAGGTATGCAGAGACAGATGAGAGCTGGAAGGACCAGGGCAGCTCCAGGAGCTCAGGGAACCAGGGCTGCAGTGCTATAGCTGAGCAGAGGCAGATGGCAGCTACAGGGACCAGGATAGCTCCAGGAGCTCAGGGGACTGGTGCTGCCCAGCTACTGGTGAGCAGGGACAGATGAGAGCTACAGGGATCACGGCAGCCCCAGTAATTCAGGGGACCAGGGCAGCAGAGCTACAGGTAAGCAGGGATGGATGGGAGCTGGAGGAACCAAGGTAGCCCCAGGAGCTCAGGGGACCAGAACAGCACAGCTACAGGTGAGCGGGGACACATGGGAGCTGGAGGGATGAGGGCAGCCCCAGGAGCTCAGGGAACCAGGGCTGCTGTGCTATAGGTGAGCAAGGACAGATGGGAGCTACAGGTACCAGGGCAGCCCCCAGGAGATCAGGGGAACAGGACAGCACAGCTACAGGTAAGCAGGGATGGATGGGAGCTGGAGGAACCAAGGTAGCCCCAGGAGCTCAGGGGACCAGAACAGCACAGCTACAGGTGAGCGGGGACACATGGGAGCTGGAGGGATGAGGGCAGCCCCAGGAGCTCAGGAGCCTGGGGCAGAACAGCTCTTGGTGAGCAGGGACAGATGAGAGCCAGAGGGACCAAGGCAGCCCCAGGAACTCAGGGAACCAGGACTGCAGTGCCCTAAACAAGAACAAAAGCGAGCTACAGGGACCAGGGCAGCTCCAGGAGCTCAGGGGATCAGGGTAACACAGCTACAGGTATGCAGAGACAGATGAGAGCTGGAAGGACCAGGGCAGCTCCAGGAGCTCAGGGAACCAGGGCTGCAGTGCTATAGCTGAGCAGAGGCAGATGGCAGCTACAGGGACCAGGATAGCTCCAGGAGCTCAGGGGACTGGTGCTGCCCAGCTACTGGTGAGCAGGGACAGATGAGAGCTACAGGGATCACGGCAGCCCCAAGAGCTCAGGGGACCAGGGCAGCAGAGCTACAGGTAAGCAGGGATGGATGGGAGCTGGAGGGACCAAGGTAGCCCCAGGAGCTCAGGGGACCAGAACAGCACAGCTACAGTTGAGCAGGGACACATGGGAGCTGGAGGGATGAGGGCAGCCCCAGGAGCTCAGGAGCCTGGGGCAGAACAGCTCTTGGTGAGCAGGGACAGATGAGAGCCAGAGGGACCAGGGAAGCCCCAGGAACTCAGGGAACCAGGACTGCAGTGCCCTAAGCAAGAACAAATGCGAGCTACAGGGACCAGGGCAGCTCCAGGAGCTCAAAGGATCAGGGTAACACAGCTACAGGTATGCAGGGACAGATGAGAGCTGGAAGGACCAGGGCATCTCCAGGAGCTCAGGGAACCAGGGCTGCAGTGCTATAGCTGAGCAAAGGCAGATGGCAGCTACAGGGACCAGGATAGCCCCAGGAGCTCAGGGGACTGGTGCTGCCCAGCTACTGGTGAGCAGGGACAGATGAGAGCTACAGGTATCACGGCAGCCCCAAGAGCTCAGGGGACCAGGGCAGCAGAGCTACAGGTAAGCAGGGATGGATAGGAGTTGGAGGGACCAAGGTAGCCCCAGGAGATCAGGGGACCAGAACAGCACACAGATACAGGTAAGTAGGAACATATGGGAGCTGGAGGGACGAGGGAAGTCACAGGAGCTCAGGAGCCTGAGGCAGAACAGTTGCTGGTGAGCAAGGACAGATGGGAGCTATAGGGACCGGGACAATGCTACTATGGGTGAGCAGGGATGGATGGGAGCTACAGGAACTGAGGCAGTCCCAGGAGTTCAGGGACCAGGGCAGCTTCAGGAGCTCAGAAGCCTGAGGCAGAACAGCTCCTGGTGAGCACAGACAGATGGGAGCCAGAGGGACCAAGGGAGTCTCAGGAGCTCGGGGAGCCATGGCCACTGTGCTACAGGTAATCAGGGACAGATGGGAGCTATAGGGACCAGGGAAGCCCAGGAGCTCAGGGGATCAGGCCACCACAGCTCCAGGTGAGCAGGGACAGATGGGAGCTAGAAGAACCAGAGCAGCCTCAGGAGCTCAGGGAACCAGCACCACAGTGTTACAGTAAGCAGGGACAGATGGGAGCTACAAGGACCAGGACAGCCTCAGGAGCTCTGGGGTCAGGGCAGCACAGCTACAGGTAAGCGGGGATCGATGGGGGCTGGAGGGACCAAGGCAGCCCCAGGAGCTCAGGGGATGAAGATGGCACAGCTACAGGTGAGTAGGGACAGATAGGAGCTTGAAAGAACAGGGCAGCCCCAGGAACTCAAGGTCCTGGGACAGAGCAGCTATTGGTGAGCATGGACAGATGGGAGCTACAAGGACTAGGACCGCCCCAGGAGCTCAGGGGACCAGGGCAGCACAGCTACTTTGAGCATGGTCAGATGGGAGCTACAGGGACCAGGGCAGCCCCAGGAGCTCAAGGTACCACGGAATTTCAGCTACTGGAGAGCAGGGACCGACAGGAGCTAGAAGGACCAGGGAAGCTGCAGGAGGTACAGTCTAAAGCTATAGTCTAGTAGAAACAGATGGTGCTAGAGGATCCAGGACAGCCCCCGAGAGCTCAAGGGAGCAGGACAGCACAACTGCAGGGACAGATGGTAGCTTGAGTAACCAGGACGGCCCCAGGAGCTCAGGGAAATAGGGATGTAGTGCTATAGGTGAACAGGGACAAATGGACCTACAGGGACCATGGCAGCTGCAGGTGCTCAGGGAACTATGGAAGAACAGCTATAGGTCAGCTGGGACAGAAAGGAGCTAGAGGGACCAGGGCAACCCCAGGAGCTCAGGGGAGCAGGGAGGCACAGTTATACATGAGCACATGCAGATGGGAGCTGGAGGTACCATGACATCCCAAGGAACTCAGGGGACCAGGCAGCACAGTTAGCGGTGATCAGGGACAGATGGGAGCTAGAGGTACCAGGGCAGCCCCAGGATCTCAGGAGACTCGGCCAGAATAGCTGCTTGTGAGCATGGTCAGATGAGAACTACAGGGACCAGGGTAGCCCCAGGAGTTCAGGGGGCCAGGAGAGCACAGGTACAGGTGAGCAGGGACAGATGGCAGCTGGAGGGATCAGGGCAACCCCAGGAGCTCAGGGGGCCAGGAGAGCACAGGTACAGGTGAGCAGGGACAGAGGCAAGCTGGAGGGATCAGGGCAGCTGCAGGAGCTCACGGAACCAGGGAAGAACAGCTACTGGTGAGCAGGGAGAGAGCAGCCAGGACGGCCCCAGAAACTGTGCTTTCCATGTCTGTGATGAAACTCTCACCAGGGCAGGACCTGCCTGGGCAAGAGGGTTGTAGCTTTGTAGAGTCCAGAGAATCTAGAAACAAGCACACTAGTCAGGCCTGGTGAACAAAAAAGAATCTGGTGAGTTGAAGAGGCCCCGGTGACTGTCAGCAGACGAGGGCACATAGAAAAGCAGCATCCCCAAGGTCCAGGGTTGTGCTGACTTCTGTAGGTCATAGAGCACTGATGGATTGTTGAAGATGGCCACTTGGGAGGAAGGACAGAAGGTAGTAGACAAGGGCAGAAACTCTGCTAGAGATCTGGGCCTGCAGGTTTCTGGAAGCACTTTGGGAATGCTTCCAAATTAGAAAACCAATTGGCTGGACTTGTCTGGAGCTCATGGGAAGGGCTGCCTAAGAGCAGGTGGAGCCAGGTACATAGCACCCAGTGGTGGGCAGGTGTGGCCAAAAGCCCAGACACATGACTCTGCCTGGATCTTGAACACCCAGACTCTGAAGAACCAAGGACAGAGGGTCCTCCATGGTCCAAGGTCACCTGTGGGGTTGTGGAGGCAGTGGGCTGGCCTGGCCCAGAGTTTGCATGGACAGGTGGCTAAGGTGGGCAGGCAGAACAGGGCAGGTGGGCACCAGTGGCCACAAGCACACACCTAGGACCCTGTCTAAACCTTGCCAAGCACCTAGACTATGGAAACGTACTCTTCCATGACCCAGGGTCAGCTGTGTACAACAACAAATCACCTGATACTTTTTTTCTTCCAGCCAGGACAACAGCCCCTTCCGTCTTCCCTCTGGCTGCCAGCTGTGTAGACACATCTGGCTCCATGATGACCCTGGGCTGCCTGGTCAAGGGCTACTTCCCTGAGCCGGTGACTGTGAAATGGAACTCAGGGGCCCTGACCAGTGGAGTGCACACCTTCCCGGCCGTCCTTCAGTCAGGCCTGTACTCACTCACCAGCATGGTAACTGTGCCCTCCAGCCAGAAGAAGGCCACCTGCAATGTAGCCCACCCGGCCAGCAGCACCAAGGTGGACAAGACTGTTGGTGAGGACAGTTCCCAAGGAGACATGGGACCCCTGGAGACAAGTGTGGGGTCGGCATTCCTGGGTATACTTACCACAGGCATCCGGAACCTTCTGTCTGGCTCCTTAGTGGAGGCCTCTGTCCTCCGTGTTCTGGGAGATGGCCTCTGGGTGTTTGCACCAAGCTCAGGGTGGGTGCAGTCTGGATCACTTGTCTGTTAGAGACAGAGAGATGGCTGCTGGCCTCAGGCCTGCTAAGAACCTTATCCCAGGCGACCTGGTCCTGACTCAGCTGTCACCAATGGCCCAACCCTCTCCTCCTAGGTACAGTGCCTTCTCTCATCCAACCCAAGTAACCTCAGCCTTCTTTTTGCAGAGCCTATTCGAACTCCTCAACCCAACCCGTGTACATGTCCCAAGTGCCCACGTAAGTCACTAAGCCTCCTTCTCCAGCCCAAGTAGGGGCTGAGGACCCAGAGGAGCATTGTGTCAGAGGGAAGCTCCCCGGTGCTGATCTGTCTCCTTTGTCTCCCACACCAGCTCCTGAAAACCTGGGTGGACCATCTGTCTTCATCTTTCCCCCGAAGCCCAAGGACACGCTCATGATCTCCCTGACCCCTAGGGTCACATGTGTGGTGGTAGATGTGAGCCAAGATGAGCCTGAAGTCCAGTTCACATGGTTCGTGGACAACAAACCGGTCGGCAATGCTGAGACAAAGCCCCGAGTGGAGCAATACAACACGACATTCCGCGTGGAAAGTGTCCTCCCCATCCAGCACCAGGACTGGCTGAGGGGCAAGGAATTCAAGTGCAAGGTCTACAACAAAGCCCTGCCAGCCCCCATAGAGAAGACCATCTCCAAAACCAAAGGTGGGAGTGCAGTGCAGGCAGGTGGGAGATTGGGAGGCACTGTGGGGGTGAAATGGACAGGCCCTCCATGGCCAGCCCTCCATCCCTGGCATTGAACATGTGCTGATCTCTGTCCCACAGGGGCTCCCCGCATGCCAGATGTGTACACTCTTCCCCCGTCCCGAGACGAGCTATCCAAGAGCAAAGTCAGTGTGACCTGCCTGATCATCAACTTCTTTCCTGCCGACATCCACGTGGAGTGGGCCAGCAATAGGGTTCCAGTGAGTGAGAAGGAATACAAGAACACCCCACCCATTGAGGACGCTGACGGGTCCTACTTCCTCTACAGCAAGCTCACTGTGGATAAGAGCGCGTGGGATCAGGGAACCGTCTACACCTGCTCCGTGATGCATGAAGCCCTGCACAATCATGTCACTCAGAAGGCCATCTCCCGGTCTCCGGGTAAATGAGTGCTGTGCCCAGCAAGCCCTCACTAACCTGTAGGCTCTTGAGTTCTGCAGGACCCTGTCCCCCAACACCCATGTAAATAAAGCACCCAGCACTGCCTGGGACCCTGCCACACTGTCCTGGTTCTTTCCGAGGCAGAGGACCTGTGCCATGGGGCCATGGGCTCTGGGTCACTCAGGGGCCAATCCTGCACTCTAGTCATCAGGGACAGAGAGCATTCTGCGTCTGAGGACCACAGCACATGTGTCTGCCCTCACGGGGGCAGACACAATCTAGCTGTCCTTTTCCCAGGGCCCATCTCCAGCTGGCAGCAGCTCCCTACCGACGCTCAAGGAAGGGACACTGAGACTCATCTTTCTAACAGCCTGTCCTTGTCCTAGGGTCTCTGTCCACTGCAGAGACAGCAGGCCATGACTGTGGCACATGACCCCCTCACCTGCACAGGGCTGGCTACCCCATGGGGGCACAAGATTCTGCCCAATCATGAGGAAGCTAGCCACTCTGGAGATACTGCACATCCCTGGGGACAGTCACTCCTGTGTTCCCAAGTCACTGAGGCACTGCCTTGGCCTCCCCAAAGGAGAACAGTGCAGAAACATTGGAGACCACTGAGCCTTGTAGGAGGTCCATGACCTGGGACCCATTAGAACAAGGCCACTGAGAAGACCCAGCCCACACTTATTGCACAAACCCAGGGACATGCACATACACACCCAACACCCTGGGCCCACGGGCTAGGCTGCATCCAACCACCCTCCATGCCCTCCTAACTGGACACATATTGACCAGCCCCTCTTGAACCTCCCTAGCACACAGTCCTCCACATCTGACTGAAGTTCAACCCTCAGGCTGCCTCCCACACTACACAAAGTCACCATGTCATTGCTATCCTGCCTCTGCCATCTTTCCATCATTCAGCTTAATCACCAGGGTCAGGTAGAGGTCCAGGCAGGCTTCAGAGGTACAGCCTGTAGAGTCATAGGCGCTGATGCTGCCCAACCCCTTTTGTGCTGAGAGCTGGAACAGACAGGGAGTCATTTACCAAGTCCAGGCAGCCAGTCTGGCTATAGGGCCTGCCACATCCTGGTCCAGGTGGGACACTTGGATGACACAAGGCTGAAATCCAGGAAAGTTGACCCAGGAGTGTTGACCTGGTGGGCACACTTGGCCCTTCTGCCCTTGGGGTCCCATCATTTCCAAAACTTTGCACAGGGAGAGACCTTGACCCCATTGGGGACACACACTGACCACCCCCTCCTGTCCAGAGCTGTACCTGGATGAGAGCTGTGCCGAGGCCCAGGACGGGGAACTGGATGGGCTGTGGACAACCATCACCATCTTCATCACTCTCTTCCTGCTCAGCGTGTGCTACAGCGCCACAGTCACTCTCTTCAAGGTTGGCACACTGTCCCTGACGCCTATGCTGCCCATGCTTCACCAGTGATGGCCCACCTTGGCCTGTGCTGTCCCCAAAGCAGCCCATGTTGTCTAGTGTGGCCCCCCACAATGGCCCACCCTGTTATCATACAGTCCCTGAACTGTCCCCAGTGTCCCTACAATGGCCGACGCTGAACCATTGGATCTCTGCACTGTCTCCACAGTGTCCATGCAGTTTTCCCCATGTTGTCTCCTCTTTGAACCCACACAGTCTCCATGATACACCATCTCTATCTTATCCCAAAACTGTGTCAAGATGCCCCATGCTGTTTTGCAAATGCTTTCCCCTCATTGACTCAGTGATGCTAGCTGCTATTTATAGCATATGATCCCCAAACTGTTTTACTATTATGCTGATAATGTGCTATGCAATTTCCACATGAAGTCTCCATGGTGTCCACACCTTATGTGCATGATATTTTGTGCTACTTTCCCAATCTTGATCCCATTATGTCTCTAATCTTGATCCCATGATGTCCCAGCACTGTCACCAACTCTGTCTCCATATTATCCCCAAGCCTATTCCTTGCTGTGCTAAGCTCTGTCTTCTCCTTATCCCCACTGTCGTCACCTTGGCCCATGCTGTCTCCATGCTTGTCCCACTGGTCTCCCTGCCTCTGGTAGCATCCTATGTTGTCATAACTGCTCAACTATTGTTCCCATAGGTGAAGTGGATCTTCTCCTCTGTGGTGGAGCTGAAGCAGACCATTGCCCCTGACTACAGGAACATGATCGGGCAGGGGGCTTAGGGCCCACCTTCATGGGCCCCAGGATTCCCAGGCCTTTGTAAGATCCCATCCATCACTTGCAGCAGCTGACCCCCAGGTCACACGCTACTCTGACCTTGCTGCCTCTGACTCTGTGGATCAGTGATCCTGAGCTCCCACCCTCCCTGCCCTGGAGGACTCGTGGATAGCAGGTGCGCCTGGCCTCAGCCACCTCAGAGCAGTCGCCATGGCCCTGGCTGAGACAAATAAGACATGTAGCTTCTCTCAGCAGGATATCCCTGCCTCGTGAGCAAGATGGTCACCCAAGAGAAGGCACAGGCCAGTACTGTCCATGTCCATCTGAGTGGGACCAGCCTTGGAGCAAATCCTGTCCACATCAGCTTCTCCAGCACAGGCATTTCTGAGGAGGGTGAGGCTGAGACTTTCCAGGGAGACTGTAGCACTGAGTCCAGAAAACACGATCATTGGCTCCCAGCACTGGCTCAGAAAGGGCTGCTGACAGTCTTTCCAATGGACTTTACCAGCCTGTGCCTAGTGTGCCTGTGCTGGGAATCTCTAAGGACTCAGGCTTCAGCAATGGCTCGCATTTCCGTCATGTGTCCTCTGATGTGGACCTTGTGTACTGTCCTTCCTTGTGGCCTACACTGCACACTGCTGGATCCAACCTGTAGGGTCTGACCACTCCAGGCCTCTTTGCACTGGTGATAAAGAGCTGGCCCCAGGATACCACCACCTCCACTGGGAGCTGAAGGACACTCCTAGGAGATGCTCAAGGAAAAATCTGGCTATGTGATGGCTGCAGAGTACCAGCAAGGCAGAAAAAGATGGCTGTCACCATCCATGCCTCTAGCAGGTCTGGTGGGTAGGTCCCAGACAGGCCAGATGTGGCGTTATGGAGGAGGAGTCCAAGGAGCACCTGTCCCAATGAAAGCACAGCTTGATGGCTGCTGGAGGCACTGAGGGTCAGCCAGGACTGCCCTGCAGGATCAGTGTAGACTGCAGAGCGCTGACATAGGAACCCCCAGGTGGACAAGATACCAACAGAGAGAGAGCCCTGTGACTCAAGAGCCAGGACTCAGCGGACCCTGTACAGAGGGTCAATGTTTCATTGCCCTATCCAGCATGGGGAAAATGCCCAGCCAGACCCTTCAGTCAGGAAGAAAGACACAAGCAGGAAAGGAGAGCAGACACTGCCCCATGCTATAGGAAATCCCAAGGGACAGCTCAGTTCAGCTTTGCAGCTTTGTTCTGTTTGTTTGTTCTGTGTTCTGGAGCCTATGATGTCCTCCAAGTTCTGCCTTTAATGGTAATAAAACATCCGTGAAACTCTGTGTATCTCCCTATGGTCTCCTGTGCCACATGCCATGCTGCCAGGCCCAGATAGAGATGGGTAACACTGACAGTCCTGTGGGGCCTCCTACCCTGTCCTTCCTGTTGCCTCCCTCATCCCAGGCACTCAGCCTTCCCTCCTTAAGGATTTTTTCTGACTGAGTACTGCCCATGCTCATCTCAGTCTCTCTGGGAAGTGTAAAGAGCAGACCCATCTTGGGATGGCTGGGCAGAGATTCCCGAGCTGACCAAGTTAGATATATATAGGAAGCATGTATTTGGTCTCTTGGAAGCTTGGGCTGCCTTGACACAGAACATAGGTGACCTCTTGAGGAACACGAGTCTATTCTCTTGTAGCACTAAAGGCTGTTGTCCTGGATCAAGGTGGTTTTTTCCTTGGCTTACAGATGCATCTTGTTCTTGTGTCCTCCCAAAGTGGTACCTCTGTGCTCTGTGTCCTCATCTCCTCTCTCATGAGGAACACAGACAAGATTAGGTCTTTCCAAGAACCTCACTGTCACCTGTCTGTTTAAAGACCTTTTATCTGAATGCAACACATTCTTACATCTTGGCCTGGGACTTCCACATACAAATGTGTAGGGAACACATGCAACCTCTAATGGTCCATCTCAAGGAGCAAAATTCACCCACTCCTCTCAACACATAGGAGTCTCATCCAAGCCACGTCATCTCCAAGTTTCAAGTTTCATATTAACATTGCCTGAATAAGGTAAGGGCCAGCCACAGGTGAGAGGCTCTCTGGATCCAGATTCACTCCCACAGGACATAATGCCAGGCAGGAGTTGCAGGAGTGGGGAGATATTTGCCAGTAGAGATCACATGCTCAAGTGCGATGACAGCCATTGGGATAAAGGACAGAATCAGCACAAATTGACATTGGCTGGCTGTGGCAGGGAAGTGAGGGATTAGGGAAGAGGGAAGATAGAGCTCACATAGGTGAGCCAGTGCACAATCATCACAGCTGATCAGTGTCTGTACACGAGGCCAGCCATGCCCAGGCTGGCTTGAGTCTGTCTGCTGTGGATACTGGAGACTCAGAAGTAGGGGACACAGGGCCCATCCTGAGATCCTGGATATGGGATACAAAGATATATGGGAGGGAGGAAGACTGATTCAGAACTGAGAAAATATCCTCTAGGGAGGAGTAGAGGTCTGACTGGAGCTGTCAGTTAGATCTGGACTTCCAGGGGGGTAATTTAAGGTCATCCCATGCCCTCTCTTGCCTTCACACTAACCCTGTAAGCAGACGCCATGCTGGCCAGTGGGCAGACTGCCTCCAGCTCACCTCTTGTCCCAGTGTTTTCTGTGCCTCTCCAGCTCCCTAACCAAGGACCAGCGTCCTCCTGCCTGAGTGCCCACAGGGATACTAGGATTGTCCTGAATAACAGGGACCTCACAGACTCCCTACTAGACACAAAAACCAGCACAAACGCAGCCCCTTCAGAGCCCTTCACGTATAGCCCCAAGGCCTTCTTCAACACTGCACCTGTGTTAGCCCAAGTCAGCCTTGTGCCACCCCCTTTTGCCCTGAGTCACCTACATTATCCACCATTGGCTCCTGTGCCAATTGGTGTCATGCCCTTTTCCTCCAAAGTGA